TCTGAAACATTACCACGATATTCTTTTTGATTGAATTCCAATCCACGACCTCCCTCAGTCATTGACACAAACACATTAGTACTTGAGTAGAGAGAAGGTACACCGCCATCCCGTGCAGTAACGTTGATCTCAGCACAGCAGTCTTCATTTTCGCAGATGATAAACCTGGCGTCTGTAGCAAGTGTGATCACACCGCTGTCATCAATAGAGAAATCATTGTTGTCAAGAAAATACGTCACCTCTCCATTGGTAGTACTGTCAGCATCTGTAGCCTCTACTATCACAACTATGTCACCTACAATCATGGTTTCGTCAATAGTGCATTCATACGTGCTTGCAAACTGTGGTGCATTGTCATTGATGTCAGTGACGGTGATTGTAACCTGACTGGAACCTGTATGGGACAGTTCGCCGCAATCTTCGGCAAATACTGAAATATACAATATAATAAGCACTGCATTATAAACTAGTGGGGGAGGAATATACAAGCGGCATTATAAAATAACATTCTTACCGTAAATCGTGTAAACTCTGCCATCTGTATCTTCGTAATCAAGCGCCACAAGTGTCATTACTTCACCTAAATGATCAGAGAGATGACATGGATTATACAGTTAGTTTTGTTATTGTTTTATAACTGAGATATATACATGTTACTTTTGTATTTTGACAGTAATGTCAATGTACCATTTTTAGAAGTTGTGCATTGTACGTGCATATTACAAACATATAACAACGCATAACCAGACAAAACTCGAAATTCGAATTTCGAAAATTCGAAACTCGTGGTCGTGCCACGGCAAAGCGCACACCTCAGTATACTCAGTCACCAATCTGATAAATATAAAAGAAACAACTATTTTGTATATTTTATCTGATGAAATACACTGGTGACCTAATACTATTACCTGTAATATTATTAACTGTAAAATCGCTGGTGTTTGTCGAATATATCACTTGGCCATTCAAACCTGCATCTGAATCCACAGCTGTTACTTGTAACACGCTTGTTCCAATAGGGACACTTTCTTCTTGCTGGGCTCTATACGCACTTTGCGTAAATGTTGGTTGGTTATCATTGATATCGAGTAAGTCAATAATAACTTCAGTATAGTTAGTTAGAATAGGTACGCCATGGTCACTAGCCGAAATGTTATATGTATATTTTGCTTTGGTTTCACGGTCAAGAGTGTGTGTTACGCTCAAAACGCCAGTGTTTCGGTTGATTTCGAAATGACCATATGTGCCCGTATGAATCGCAAAACTGATCACGGCATTGTTTCCAATATCTTTATCCGTGGCAGTAATAACGTCAATCTCGTATCCAGTGGGCGTGTTCTCACAAATTTTGTAATAATACTCATTTTCAGTAAATTGTGGATAATTGTCATTTACGTCAAGTAGTTCTATAATTAATGGGACACTAGTGTTAAGACTTAGGTCATCTACACCATCACGATCAGAAACTATCACTTCTAAATCATAACGATCTCGTTCTTCACGATCCAAGTCTAAAATCGATTCATCATCTGTCGTTGTGATGACGCCTGGCCTGTTTTTTCATCTATTTTAAACTGTTCGTGACCATCACCAGCGAGTGTATATATTGTTGAAGCATTGAATCCATAGTCCCAGTCTGTTGACATTATTGGATAAGTCTGTGAAAAAATGATAATCAGGTTTCGGATGTGAATTAGCAAATTCTACTGTTAGAAAACTATTGTTTTACTGTTAGAAACTATAGTTTTAATCTACTCAAATTACAAAGTTCCAAACCATATTTGTGAAAATTGCTTCAAAAATGAAAAAAAAAAATAATGAATGAATGAATAAGTTATTCATGAATTTTTTTTTCTATTTACGATGCACAGCTCGATTTCAAAAAAATGTCTGTCATACTCAAGCTGTATGCATGTATCAAGGTTAAGCAGAACACACTGAAAGTAGTTAATTAGTATGCCAAGTTTGCTCAAAGTCGAAGATCAACAACACTTTATCTTGTTCAAATAAGATTTGACAGAGAGAGACAAACAGGACTTTACCCCCTATTTATACTTTGAGCAAACAACATGAGCAAATGATTCACCAGTATTTTGATAGGGAAGAAATAGCGCTTAAATGTTTGAACATTATCACATACCAGAAGGACTTCTTCACCTCCCTGGGGAGTCTCATCAAGCTGGTCAATTTCATCCACCTGACCTTCATAATAATCACGTGCAAAATATGGAGAGTTGTCATTCTCGTCAACGACCATGACCTTAAGCTCCGCTATGATCTAATTAGACAGAAACAAAAAATATGCATGGAACTCTCAGTACAATGAACTTCGTGTGGCCGCTACAGTAAATAAAATACCACACTATACGCCAAAACGTGTATGTGACGCCAAATTAACGTTAACAGTTGAAAATAATTTAGTTAAAACGACGACTGTGCATAGGGACGAACAGTATAGGGAATCATTAACATATTCAACAAGATTAACGTCGAAAAAAATGCTAATTAGACCATTCAAATTTTTAGAGTCTAGTTATTAAAGGATGACCAACTCAGTGATAGTCATAGCCATATATCGATAGTAATAGCAATATTAAAACGATATCGACGCATATGACCTCGTCTACATATCACCATTTATGTCATAAAAGCACTTCACCGCTAGAAGGCGCAAAAGGAATGGCATGAACCCCCGTCTCGTAATTGATGTCATCATTAAAAAAGTGACGTATTTAAGGAAGTCAAATGTTATTAAAAAGCGTAACAATTACTCACCGGATCAACGAGACATATAGCGTCATCTTCAACATAGACCATAATTGAATATCGATATGAAGATCTGTCTTCTCTGTCGAGCGGTTTCGCTGTTGTAACTATTCCCTGGCCAAAAGTGCATACAACAATATCAAACTCCAAACACGACATCAAACTTGATTCTTGTGCATTCAATGTGAAAGATAAACGAAACAATCTTTTTTGTTCTAAATATCTTTGACTTAATTCGAATAATGGTAAATTTCCAAAAACAAAATGATTATCGCAGAAGATTTTTTCCCAGAAATGTTCGGAGGCAAAAAGTGAGAACTTAGTTTGACAAAAGAATGAGAACATTTAAGCACGTAAATAATAGTTATTGTTTGACCGGGAAACTTGTACGCTGCATGGTTTTTTTGTTTTTGTTTCGATTTTGTATAATTGTTGGTGAATTTGTGGGCGTTGATTTTCCATCGACTTGTGCTTGTAAACGTATTCTTATAATGAAGTCTCGATTAGGCATACTGAGGTAAACTGTCCACCTAAATTAAAGAACGCTCACATCGTGAGCTAAGCTTATATATCGAGACCCGTGACGAAAAACAGTTGTATTTCAAGCAACGTTGAAATGAGTGAAGGTACACAAGCTTTTATTAATTACAAGACATGGATCACTAATCATTAATGGTTTAACCACGAATGTGCATGACTATTAATTACATGATGTATGCAAAATTCGATATAGAATAACAGACATGCTAGAATAGGTTCTATAGGTTTAAGGTTTGTCTTTTGCAGTTAGACTGAACGCTATTGAATACAGGGTGGAGTTTTACAAAGTTTGGACGTAGATACTTAAGAACTGGTAACTGTTTTTGATTTAGATATCTGTCAAGACATATTTGTCTATATTTCGCTGCGGCTGAAGTTCGAAAAAAATAAACGAAACAGCCAGTTTGCATGAGTGTTTTTGACAAAGTTGCTTGTGAATGCAAAAAGAGTTATTCAATTTTTACTGGGTTTAATGCAAAAGTTGGTAATACAAAAATAATGTCTAGAATTTGTGTCATTCATGACAATAATAATACATGTACTGATGACAAGTTGAGTGATATGGCAAAGGATATAAAAGCGTTTCAGCGAAATGTAAACAAATAAAGGATGGAATTGTAATAATACAATAAATTTGGAAATGTCGATGTGACGAAATAGGTTAGGAATCCCGGTGCTTTGTGATTGGTAAATTTCCACTACAACATATCCAACTTACCGTATTTGAATTAATTGTGAAGTCGGTAACGTTGGATTCTACAAATGCATATTGAATATCATAAGACTCATAGGCATCTGTTGCAGCATTCGATACATATGTGCCATTTGGCTGGTTTTCAGAGACATGTTCGTCAAGATATGTTCCATTGTAGATTTTAGTATATT